AAAAAACCTGAAAGATATCTTTGAACCCAATGCTAATCACACAACAATGTATATAGTGAAATGGTCCCTTGAGGATCATAGATATCGCCTAGAGAGGTTAATACGTGTTTCCTATAATTAAAAAATTTACATTGGATGTTAGATAAGAGAGTTCAACTGGACCAATTCGATCGAACACAGAGTAAATAGGAACCACCTATACAAGCAATCCAGTACCATACAAACAATTAATATGATACCCTTCGATGAGATAGAGCAGATTGTACACTATATAAACTATAAACTAGAAGTAGTGAGTCATCAACCAGAGAAAAGCAAGCAATACTGTAATTTTATTTTTGATGTGGAATGGTGGCAAGAGCTCTGTCGGAATATATTAGCAAGGAGAAAAAGGTTTAGCATACTAGAATAAAGAAACAAAAGAAGAAAAAGAAATAAAGTAAATTGTATCAGCGGTATACGAACTTGTCAGGTGGGAGCAATCTAGTGCACGAATTTATAAAATGCTCGTTTTAGTGCATGAACTTGTCCTGTGCGTGTGGACCAAGGCCAAAATGACACTATATGGCTAATTCTGTTGATTACGTAAACACATATCTGAGAAGATTTATATTTAGACATACACATGTTCAATGAAAAGATAAAATGAGATATAGTGATAGCAGAGACATATATGAAAACCCGATTAGGAGGCTCTGTGTAGAGGATTCATGACTTCACATGAAGCTTTGAAAATCCAAGTCTGATTGAAAATCCATTTTCAAAGCTTCGAAGGATTGGGTGTAGAGGCTGCGGGTCCAATTACATGGCCAATGAGGTTTTCGACTATGAGAGATTTTTATGCAGGGTTAGAAAATCAAAAAAGATGCTTTGGTTCAGTTGGTCTTTCAAATATGAATGAAAGATTTATTTGGCATTGAACCCAAAAAATGGAGATTGTAGGCACTTGATGAGGAATAAGCAACAGGAACATTGAATTTCCAGGTTATGTCATTTTGGATGGTCGTCGACAACTGGATGCCTTGCATCAAATATCCGAGATGAACTAGTTCTTCAATTGAGGAAATTTGTCAGAAGGAAAAGATCCAGTTGTTTTAGGAAAGTTCATTGTGAACACTCCTGTTCTTTCCTTTTTTTTGTAAGTTTTGAAATGGGTGGTGTCTTCGGGCATGTATTGTTCAACCAATTGTCATTCCAAAAACTAGTTTTGGCGCCATCACCAAGGGTAATTTCAAGGGCATGTTGAAAGAGTTGTGAGTTGTTTGTCCACCATAGTGCAAGATAAGTCCCAGGCGTACCAAGGCAGAATGTCATCTTTCTAGCTGAACTAGAGCCATCGAATCCTAACGGCTCTTGCAAATTTCTAGAGATCAAGATTCAAGAATACCCAAACACCCCAAACATTTAGGATGGCATACTGTTTACCAATTTACTCGACTGCTACCCTCTCTCACATTGTCTGGTTCATCCCCTTCCTACAGGAACGCTCTCCTAAACCAGTCTATTCTTTGAATACCTGTTTCAAAGTATGCAAAACTGTTAAATGGTAAATGGGCATTGCCAAATGTACAGACTTAACTAGAGTGTTTCATCCCGTTGAACTAAAGAAACATCGTTTCCAGCACGGCATTCTCCCTCCCAATTTATCAATCAGGGGTATGGAATCAACCTTCGCGGTAGTGATGACGACCACTAGTGGCCTCCACCCTAGATACAAGATGCCCAATAGTAAGTGTTAAAATAAGAATCAAATTATATATTAAATAATATCGAATTAGAATTTGTTTATTTTTATAATGTTGGGGATTTTTTATCTCTCGGCAAGGAAACCAGATAGAGTCACGCATAACCAGTCCCACCCGTTGACGTGCGTGATTAACCCGATTGAATCACGATTATTTCCTTCATTAAAACATGCAATGATCGGAAGCGCCAATAACTTCCTTTTATTTGGATTGCCCACGATCTCCCACGGCGCTAGATAAAAAGGGGAGTCCAGCCATGAAACGGGATACTGGTTCACGATTCATTCTCCCCGAAAACCCTAACTCTACTCGATCACTGAGGTATTGGAGGGAAAACATGCGGCTATGCTAGGGCAGTGTAAGTGGTGACCAGAAGGCTATCGCTACCCCGCTGCTCATCACCAACGAACCCTTCGGGATCAAGCCAGTGATTTCGTTAGCTCGACTGCTATGACTGCTTCCACTATGATATCCATGGCGTCAAATTACGATTAGTTACCTTAATTTTCTGCATTAAGGTGATCATAGATGGCTAAGCACTAAAGTTAATAGACCACAAAATCTACATATAATATGTGGTTTGCATTATGAACAAAGCTTATATTTGTTATCCAAAGTGCTAGACAAAAATTAATGTTGACGGTACAAGGTGTACAATACTATTAAAGCAATACTCCAGTTGTTGTTCGAGCCATAGGCAGAGTGTGGCCATAAAGACATGTGTTCTTGGTAGATGTTGTCAGGAAAGCAACCAAGCAGCTTGAGCCATGGGTAAAATCAAGGGAGACAGGGGCGGGGGCTGCGCCCATTTATGCGACGGTATGGCGCGCCCCTGGATGCCGCTATTACCTAGGTAATAGCATGCTTCGGGTAATTGCTAGCTCCGGCTCCCGCCTCTCCAACTGAGCCATGATAGTCCCTCCGTTTTTTAATAGATAACACCGTTGAATTTTGAACGACTATTTGTCTTATTAAAAAAATTTGCAAATCAGTGATAAAATTATGTCAAACATATAATAAAAAATCAACAATGTCATCTATTTAAAAAAACGAAGGTAGTAGTATTAAACTAGGACAGTTGGCAATGTGATTATAACTTAAGCAGTGGCTGTAGATCCGTTCTCGGACCACAGTAGCTGACATTATTGTGCATTAACTTACCACGGATACTGCAGCAAACAATCAAGTCAGTTCCTCCTGAAACAATAAGGATGGTATCATGGGATTACACGAAGTACTCCATCTGTCCTGAAACAATAATGCTGGTATGGTCGTCCCTAGTCCAGACCATATGCATGTGTGATAGTACTCGAGAGGTATGTTCTTCGGAGGTTTGACCTTGTGCTGGCCATGAGTTGAGCATTCGAGTATGTCAAACTGTTACAATGGGGACCACGAATGGAAACCAAGGCTCTATTTAGGAAGCTTAATAATATAAGAATCTGCTAGTTGGTTGCCAGCTTCTAATTAAGAATTTAAAGAAGATGTTTCTAAATTCAAGCTTTTAGCTTCTAATTTATTTTTTGAATTCTATAGCTACATATTCTCATAATCTATATGACAATCTGAGCCGTTTGGGACAACTTTTGATTCTGAAAAAAACTACAGCGGCTAGAAACTCTCCAAATAGACCCCAAATTGGGTTAGTTGCCAGCTCTAGTGCCTCTACAGCTCGATCAGCAATCCGTTTCAGGGTTCAGACTTCAGAGTACGACGGATTGTAGTGTCCAATGCCGTACCAAATATCGGACGTATGTACGTACTCTCTCCATCCTAAAATAAGTCAACCTCGTACTAGTACCATGAATATGGATATTTATTGTATTATGATATGTCATATTCTAGGATGGGATTGGTTTATTTTAAAATAGAAGAAGTAGGATTGGTTCTTTTTAATGTTTGTTTGGTCATGGCCCAAGGCGCAAGCACTGAAGCCAACTTGCCACGAGGAGAGCGAGGCCAGCGCTAGATCAACGTGACAACTGAACAATTGACAGCGTGATCGGCCGGGGCGATTCGATCCATTACACAATATGTAATAACGCTCGATCCACTGCTAAGCCAGGTTGAGAACATTGTTGCATGAGCAATTAATTTGTGTGCATCTACGTTTTGTTTGGGAAGCTCGAGATTCTGATAAACAAATGATGGATGCTCAGCTGATGAGAATTAAAAAAAATAGATTTTTCAGCTTCTCACTTCTAGTTTGATTTTATAAAAAATTATGGAAAGAGGATGTAATATAAATGACATTATATTAGGAAAAAATTAACTTCTAGTTTGATGATATATAAATATGCGGAAGAGTAACTAATATACGGGGTACGTTGCCTATCACTGAAATCTCAACGCCATTAAATCCTAAAAAATTTACTCCCATGGGGAGTCGAACCAAAACATCAAGTGCTACTGAGTCTCTTGTAACCACTAGGCTACATGCCCTTTCACAACACATATTTTCTTTCTGTTTAACAGTTTGTCAAAATATTATTTCTTTCTGTTTAACAGTTAGTCAAAATGTTTAAATTTTAATTTTTCAAAAAATTAAGGAATGAAGAGAATAGTACTTAAAAGTAGTTTTTCAATCATAGTTTTTTTAGATAATGTAATAGAATCATAGCCTTTGCTCACAGAGGTACGACCATTATTACAAAATTTGATCCAAACACAATCGCACCTCAAACAAGTCATAAAAAACGCATCCAAATCGATAAAGGCACACACCACTACTAACACCAATAGAAAAAAAATAAAACAAACTTATTAAATTCTATTTTTAAACCTCCAACCATAATTAATGAAAAATTGCATAATCGTTGACTCCAGTTTGCGACGTGCAATTTTTATTAACTTGTTTTTATAACACTAGTCGGTCGTAGCGGAGACTTTCCTTACTGTCATCCGGCTTGTCATGGATCATATCGAGTTGTGAGAATCTTTGGTTTTTTTTTTCTTATCATTGGATGATTTTTTTTCTTATATTTTTACTTGGCATGAATCTTTGGTTTTCTGTACGTTTTACTTGCATCAATTGCACCTCCAGGGACTTCTCATCATCTGAAAAACACTTGGACTTGTGGTAACAAAACTCATAAATTGAAACACCTCTTTTCTTTATGGAGGCCTTCAGATTATGCTAGATTATGCACATTTATCTGATTGCAAGCGATTGCCAAAATTGATTACAGTTTGTCACTCAGGATTATATTTACCGTGGTAATGTCAACCCAAACTTGAAAACAGAGCCCACCAAACTAATCACAGAAGCACCGAACAGATTCACAAACATGAAAACACAACATGAACGTCGTCTTTATTTTTGCTGTAATTCAACTGGTTGGTCGACATCTCATTATTGAAACAAAATAGTGTTTACAATAGGCACAAAATGAATAACAATTTCAAAGGGTAAATGCTCCGAGTAGCTCTCCCATGTTGCATGGACATAACCAGTTCTCATCGCCTATCTGACGCCACTGATTCAGCGGAAAATAGGTACTTCACGCGAGAAAGGACAGAATCGTGTGCTGGGTCATAAGGATGATCCTTCGATGGAATCTCCAATATAGCAGGAACCGGTCTGTTGTAGCTATCCACAAGAAATCTAATCATGTTTGCAACCTGCCAAATGAAAAATAGAAAACCATCAGGTTGTGTGATTGTGTCGAACACGAAGAACCATTTTAGACTGCACATAATTTGTTAACGATTTCAGCTATTATAAATGTATAATGCAAAGCTGCAGGAACCTTAGGCCAGTAAATTGGTAGATAAATCACATAAGAATTAAAAAAAAATCACATCATTTTGATGGGTTTTTGTATTGAAATTCATTGATCATATGCTCCTGGGACATGCCATTTTGAAAACTCAGGAGAGCGCTCCAAAGAAACAAGGCTGACTATGGCCAGGAGACTTAGTGACAAGCGGAAATAGTTTAGAATTGAAACAGTTTTGTTTCCAGTCACTAACTTTCTGAGGCCAGGAAACTTAGTGACAAGCTGACTTAATTTAGAATTGAATAGTTTTGTTTCCAATCATTGTGACTTTCTGAGGCCAGGATACTTAGTGACAAGCTGATCAGTTATCACTTCATTATATAAACAAAGAAATAACCTGATGTATACAATCAAGCTACTTACATATTGACTGATGAGTACAATTGCAATGTCCTCCCTTGTAGTGAACTCCTTAAACGCATCTTCAATTTGTTTGACTGTTGTTTCTGTAACATGTCAGAGTAAAATTCAGCCGTGTGAAGTCTATGGACTACTAAAGCATTAGGAAGTCTGCTAACATAATAAAATGCATAAGGGTAACATAAAGATGAAACCATAAGCTCAGGGATGAAATTCACGTCCTACAATAATGAAGAAATTAATTGTCTCTGACATGTGACTGGGTGAGATCCACTTTCTTATTTTATTTCAAATAATATGCCAGCTACCAAGTGGAAATACGGAACATGTCAATAACTCTATTAAGCAGGAAATTATCAAGATTAATACAACCATTCAAGAAGATTGAACACCCCCTACCAAAATAAGCCTTGGGATTCAATGAGCATATGCAGCATTATAGTAAAAAAATTGGCAGAACTCAACAAATTAGGTCTTATCATGAAGAAGGCACTGATTTGTAGCTATCAAGTTAGAAGAAAGGATTTGGCAGTCAGGTAATGGAACATGTAAATGGGTAAAGATAATATGACTTGTGCACATGAGATGATCAACAGGATATCATGCAATGTCCCTATTGTAAGAGGCAGAAATCAGGACAAAACAAACAGCAAGATATTGATAGAGAAATTAAGCATATTAGCAAGTGAAAGTTATTACTGTTATCAACAATAAGATAATTTGTCTTTTTCCTCAGATCAACATTGCCAACTCCAGCCAACAAAAACCCAGTCACCGTGTCCTGCAAACACAGGGCAGGAAACAAAACACTCCTGTCAGATACTCCAATCATGGCTAAATTACTGGGGAACCTGGAAACATTTAGAGAGAGTTACATATGTTTTATATTGATAAAGATAGTATGAGGTTTTATGCCCGTTGTTAATTAAGAGGATTCAGTTTAGTCATCCAGTTCTCATCAAATTATGCTGGTTAGCTACTACTGTTTGCTACCTTGACTTAACCCATCAGGAGTATATTTTAAGCAAGCGAGAATGAAATTGCGAAGGGTCCTTGATGTAATTTTTCTTGAGCATCAGCTAACTTTCATTCCTCGTATTTGGCATCAGCAAGCTCTTACCAAACAGTATGTAATAGCATTACATTTTTATATTTGTTTCCTGCTTGAAACCTTACATGTTACTCAAATTCAATAAGCTAGCAAATGCCACCAAAATTATTAATCATGAGCAATTTGACAAGCCGTAAATTCATATTTGGCAAAGAGTTTAGAAACCACAGAATGATTATGCGCAAATCTGATGTTGAAAACAGTTTTCCTCATCACAAACATGTAACAGAAGGCACTGGTTTGTAGCTACCTAATTACTCCTTCCATCCCATGATAAGGTCATTTTTGTCTCTCCCCCGTTTGTCCCAAAATAAGTTCATTTTTAAGCAACCATTACATCAGAGTTTGTAAAAGTAGTGGATACATTGGGAGTAAATCAAGAGATGAATATTTGATTGGATTTGATAAAGTGGAGGTATTATACTCTCTTTTATTTTATATTGGTATGGGTGGGATGGATGAAAAATGACAGTCAGGTACACAGGTAAAAGAAAACACACTGAGCCGGACTCAGGCATTACTACAATTCGCTGGATCATCAGTAGACTTAACAAAATTGGGTATGTATCCTGAATCAACAAGAGCATTTTTTTAGATAATGGAATATAACATCCCGGCCTTTGCTCAAGTGGAGCTACAGCCCATTATTACAAACTAGCACTCCACATGAGTGTAGTTCAAATAAGAAAGCAAACATCGCGGAAAGATAAAAACGAACCAATAAAAGCAAATAACAAGAGCATGTTAGAACACAATTCGCTGAATCATCAGTAGGCTTATGACATAATTGGGTATTTATCCTCAATCAACAAGAGCATGTTAGAACACCGGTAACTACTAGATGTAGCAAAAGAGCAGCGGTAGAGGCGGCACAATCAGCCAAGCCAAGCAAAGGCAAAGAGCAAGGCGGAAAGGGGAGGAGGTGGGGGGTGGCTGTAACTACCTCGTCGGCGATGATGGCGATGAGCGCAGAGCTGTTGGTCGGGATGCTGGGCCTCCCCGCCATGGCGACCTCCTAGCTTGGGATCAGAGAGGAAGAAATCAAGAAATCGCGTGCGATTAGGGTAGGGGGTCGGAAGAATTCCGATCTGGATCGGGACCGGATCAGAGATAGTAGTACTTACGACCAAGGTGAGGTGAAATCGGCGGCGGCTTGGGCAGGATGGGATCGATCGATTCCGGCGAAGGAAGCGGCGGAGGGGTCGCCGGCGAGAGGAGGAGAGGAGGGGGGGATCGAGACGGTGTCGTGGTGTGCGGGGTGGGTCCCACCTGAAACTGAAAGGCTTCGTATATGTATGTACTTCTAAAGAATACGTGTATGTATGTACGTATGTATTGTACAGAAATTGTACTCGTATTTCAGTTGGTGTATTAATACGACTGTGCGTCGAAAAAGACAACTCGTTAAAAGAAAATCAAAAAGAGGATTGGTACAGGCAGAGGCAGCACAGAGTGTAAGGGCCAGAAAAAACGGCCCATGAGTTGGCCCTTGTGCTGCTGTGGAATAAGTCCACTTTGGCTCCCTCAAAATATAGCTCATCTTTAATATGTATATCCCTGAATCGCAATACTGGATATTTAGACCCCCCAACTATTAAAATCGATGTAATTTGACTTCTTTTTTTAAGATGTGGGTCCCACATGCTGAGTCAGCCTGTTGAACTGGGTCAAAGCCCCATGTCAGCAAAACCGTACTCTAAAACCGCTTAGATCTAAAACCGCTTAGAGAATCAAATTACACCGGTTTTAATAGTTGAGAGGTCAAAATATCTGGTATTGTGGTTTAGGGTTACGAGTTAGATTTGAGCTATATTGAAGGAGTTAAAGTGGACTTATTCCTGCAGCTGTTGCTGCTTATGGATTGTTTTCGATTTCAATGGACCAACCGAGTAGTGTTGCATAAGCAAAACGATGAGTTTTTGTTGAACTTTTTTAATTTACATGAAGTTTTTTTAATGAACTTTCTATAATACCTTACAAGTTGCCTGAGATTTCTAGTCATCGGCCAATCCTTTACCGCTAGAACCTTGTTAGGATCAGGGGCCACCCCCTGTTGTTCCAATCACATGCCGATGCTGCTGAGCAAAGGACCATTTACTTTCTTTGACAAAAAGCTGATGATGTGCTACTATTTTGAACACTTCCCTTAGATGGCTCAGATGCTCCTCCAAGTTCTTGCTATAGAACAAAATATCATCCACAGAGACTAGCACACAATTCCTGATCAAGTGAGCAAAAATGATATTTATTAACCCTCGAATGTATATAGCTACGGCATTCTTTAGCCCAAAAGGCATCACCTTGAATTCAAAATTGTTGAATAGTCCCACATTAGTTGTAGAAGGACAAAGAATCTAAGGACCTAAGTTACATGTGGGAGAGCCCCTCACCTCAATGGCTAGCTTTTGGGGTGGGAAAGGCCCTTTACGATCTACAATAATGACCCTGGTGAGTTTAAAAGGCAGTTTTATGTTCATCATGGTCCAACAATCTTATTTGATGATACACTGATCGGAGATCTAATTTGGTGAACCCCTGCTGTCTTACTACTACTAGTTCATCATCCAGAAGAAGCCTAGGCACATATGCACGTCGATGCTTGATTAAGTGCCCACTTCAGTCTCTTTCCAATTTCTGTCTCTTACATATCAGACTAAAATGACATGGACAGGCTAATAGCTGGCTGCTAGTGTGGGTGTGATTTATGTGCGTCCATATTCACTTAAAACAAAAATAACAGATCTAATGATTTGTGTGCTCTTCTTTCTGACATTTTTTCTCCTAGCTCTAGTGCTAATTAAACAGTTTATCCACCTTTCTACGTCCATTTCTCTCACAAACAATTATATGTATGCTTGCAGCAATTAATTTATCCTCTAGTATTTTTTTTTCTAAAGCAACCCTATCAGTGGTGACAACTGAACCTACTCCCTTACCATTAATTTATTTATATATGTAATAATACGATTCTTTCTTAAACCTAACATTTCATGCATCTTGGTTGATTTTTTATCTTCATGATGCATTATTGATTGGGCTCAGGTGCAGCATTCCTGCAGCTTTGGTCCAATACTCTGATAATTTTAAATTTAGCTCGAGATCGACCCTCTAATTATTTTGCTACAACGGCCTTTATATTACTCAAGTTGGATCCTCCTACTGTTCTAAATTTGGCACAAATTAATCACATCAACACGCACTAATCCTCTCAAAAGTCAAGGGGTCTACCTCTAGAATGCATGTACATCATGGTAGGAAGAACCCTAATTTATTCCAAGTAATAATGGGGATCCAAGGTGTCATTATCCATCATACTGGTGAGATGGGGAATACGTACTTGGATCATGCAGAAGGAGGCCTCACTTTTCTTGCACTCTCCTTTTTCTTTTTCCTGATGAACAAGACGTGAGAAATTAAATTAAGAGGGAGCTGCATCGATCATATCCTGCTGGGATGAGCTGGGTGATTAGAAACAAAAGATTGTGAAGAGTTCATCAGTAAGCTTGCAATTGCATGCAGCACAAAGATATGCCACGTATAAATACTTTTACACATGTTCATATATAGCAGCTTGATTATTAACTGGACTCCTCTAATATTAAAGCTGGCTAGCTATTGCACCTAGTATAGGAGTGGAATATGCTTGCATTTTTTTTTTTTGAGAAACACAGTAAAGATGCTTGCATTTTTTAGCTTGATTGCAGTCTGAATCATCAAGATAATCCAACAAACACATGGTAAATGATCTGAGGAAGATGGTTTATGCATTTTGGTGATTATAATGTTAGTGGAGGTACAAGCTAATTAGCATGGATGTTCTTATATGCTTCATGAACACTAAATTACAAAAACTAGTCCTTTCATGATTCTCTAATGGGAGTACACAAGCACACTGCTGCTAGATGTATAGCAATGCTAGAATACATGTTGAAACAGCTGTCCAGATGGAAAAATGCTGTATGGATGGATGATGGTGGTGCACACCTTCCAGCCTCTTCTCTAGGTCAGTTGTACCTAACAAAATGTTTTGGATTCTTGCATGAATTTTGCAGGATTTGCAATGGTGCTTTGCTGTCTCATGTCGTAGGAATTCCAGTGTGAGCACACAACCTGCAATCTTTAAGCATGCTATTTCTGCTACTGCCTCTATCTTTATCTGATTCAGAACAGAAGCTTAACTACAGCACAAATAATCTCTATTAACAACGAAAATAATTTACTGATGATGACCACATGTCAGTGATGAGTCATAGGTTTGTAAGCTGTTAGATTATGGTCATTGTCAAGTGCACAACATGATCATGCTGACCTGATCAACTGAGTTCTGAACGAGTCTCACATGAGTCCAGGGCCCTAGCAGAAATTTTCTTTGCCCTGCTAAATAAGCACAACATAAACAGCTACGAAAGCGTGAAATAAACCGAATGGATGCGCTATATTGTCAACAAAACCACCACCATTTTTCCAAGGTTGAAGCTCTAGGATCTACATAATCTGACCATGTCCATGTTAGACAAGGGGACTTTAGTGTCAACATGCATGTGCCAATGGACATCTGAAGCTCAGCATGACAAGTACCCTTGCAAGCTACCAACTCACAACTACACATGCAGGTAAGGACATTCTTCTAGTCAGAGACTGTATAATATCTGTGTGTGTAAGTGGCCTGTACTATACTACTATGCAGGGTGACATGAATGCAGCTTTAGTTTGGCATATCTTTTTCTCTGTCAAGCTGGTACCTGTGAAAATGATATGAGGATGTAATCAATGGAAACATGCCCAGGGATAGCCCCTTTCTAGTTGCTACAGGTTTCAAAGTTCACATTTGAGCCACTTGCAAAGCTCTGCCTTCCCTAGATACCAAACAGGTAAAAACAACTATTTTTTTTTGTAGATACAGTATATATTTATTTATGCAAGCTAAAGTTGGGCAAGAATGAAAGATGACTTGCCATGCAGTGATGATGATTAGGGAGAGATAGGGACAGAAGGCAGAACCTAGGACCAAGATGCATTATTGGCTAGGGCTTTGAGTGATGGTATGGTAGTTCCTATCTTGGATTCCCTTGTTGGGCAAAACAAAGGACTCATGCACAAAAAGGAAAAAAAGAAAAGGTGAAATGAAAGCAATGTTGTCATACAAATCACAGTAAATTGGACAACTCTGTTCTCTTTAGTAATTTGCACATATATATGTATCATGTGTGTGCTCACAAGTCACAAACAAGCATATTGGTTTTGAACCTAGTTTCAAGCCTCATGAGCTTAATCAACAACTCAAATAGCATGCCAAATGGTGTATTGGTTAATTATCAAGTAACATCAAGCTTACGCTCGTTGAACTAATTAAACTAACTGAAGCAAATTTGCACATATAGATAATTAAACGCTCTCAAAGGATATATAAAAGGATTATACTGCAGTCTACCGTTTTTCATACGTCTTCAGTAAATATGAAACATGCTGAATTAGATGTTTCTGGTGCAACAGGTCTCTATTCCGTTGTTGACTTCACTTGTGATTTGGATGGCTCAAGCTAAGTGACAGGTCAGAGTGAGTTCATTTGCATACTTTTAGTTGTTAATTATCATGAGAAGCTTCGGCAGATGACTGGTCATCACCACATAGATGAGATCAGTGTCTGAGGGTGACAAGCAGCAACCATGTGCAAAAGTCCATATTGAGTTATATGCAAACACAAAAGTTTAATCAGAAGGACCAGCAATTCACTTGTAATTAACAGTCCTTTAGGTTAAAAAAAAGGGGGTTATATGTTTTTATCGTGTAAACAAACAGTTATACTCTGCTCCACTAGTTCTGGTATTATATAGATTCAAATGAACCAATCAGTTCAAATCAAAAGCTTAAACCGGGTGGACAATTTACAGTATACTTGAACAAAGACTTTTACGTACTATACATTATATAGTAAATATATAGCTGATGATGAGTTCATCATTCATATCTTAGTTCTTATATATGAGTAAGCACCGTACACCTATGACATTATACAAGTTCATTTTGTCAAACTTTCCGCTGTACGATCGACGATTACGAGCAACATTCAGGTATTATAAAAACAAGTTGCTATCGTTGTTAATTAACTATGATCTAAGGAAAGAAGAGCAACACAAGCAAGTAGTATATATTAACTATACCGTCCTCAGAAGGCAATGCGAACTCATGTTTGTTTACTTCAAACAGGTTGGCGCAAATATGTATTTTATTTTTTAAAAATCATTTATTCCAGAACATCAAAATATATTGATTTTCACAACTATGATATTTTAGATGGCTCATATGAAAAAGGGAAAGTGCATACCGATTTTTGAAGACAACCAACACTAGTGACTCATAGGTACCGGTTTATTTAAAACCGGTACCTATGAACCGTTTCTCACCTCCCTGCGATGAAAAATATAGAATCAACACTTTTGAGCACTATAGATGCCTGTTCTAGAGAAAAAAACCGATACCAATACTATATGTATTGATTAATTAAAAAACCGACACTTAGAATATATTATAGGTACTGGTACCATAAAAATCTAGTAGAGCCGAGCCAGTAGGTTGGGAGCAATATATTTTTAGTGAGGAGAGAAGTGTGTCTTATCCTCTCCTCCTCCTCCTCTCTATCTCTATCTCTATCTCTATCTCTCTCTCTCCCACCTCCTCTCTCTCTCACACAACTTTGCCGTCACTCCGTCCGCCGCCCACGCCTTGCCTCCTCCTCCCTCCCCGTTCGTCGCCCCTCCTCCTACCTCTCCGTTTGCCTCATCCTCCTCCTCCTCTCCTTGGTGACGCCCTCTCCTCCATGCCATTCCCAGAAGCATCAGATTCAACCGTCGGATCTGGCTGCATGGAGGTTGGGGGGCCACACGATCTAGGCTCTTCTAAGTCGGGGCTCACTAGATCTAGCCACATCTGACCTAAACGCGCACGTGCTCAAGGCCTAGAAGGAGATGATAGCAGCGGCGGTGGCTCGAGGAATCGATGATGGCGGTGGCTAATCCATTTGGACCGTGAGTCCAAAATATTGAACATGTAATGGTTGGACATGGTGGAACATATATCGGTGAATTGTTCTTATCTGTAATGTACTTATTCTTGTCTACTTGGTCTGTGATGTGCCTTCTTTCTTGTTGATGTGTACATATGCTCTTATGTTCTTGTTGATCTGTAATGTGGATGGGGAAATTGCAAATGGGGTTAGGAATTAGATCCAACCTATAATACAATTGTTTTTTTATTATTTTCGAATATCATAGGTGTCGTTCTATCCATATAACTAGCACCTATAATAATGGGTAAAAGTTCATCAAAATTGGTACCATGTAGGAAATTGGCAAATATAAGGGGTTCCCAACCAGTAGTATTAGTGATATCAAAACAAGTAAACTAAGACACATATCACCAAAGTCAGATGGTAAACCTCCTTGAAAAATGGAATTAACTACTACCGAAACAATTTTCACATACAGCTAAAACTTCCCTCACGTACAGCTAAAACTCATTTTTCACAGGTGGTGGAGCCACCTTCCTGGATGCATGCGTATGTGAAAATTCATGATTTTCATGTACGGGCGTACTACGGCATGCGAAAATTGATTTTCGCAAGCGGCTCATAGGCAGGTTCTCCCTTCGTCCAAAAAGAGTGTTTTTTTTTAATCTTTCAGACTTGTCTAGCTATGGGGTCCACTGGACCTCTTAATACCACTTCATTATTTTCTTCTCATTTTAGCTATCCAAACATTATTACTCCCTTCCTCTCTTCTTCTCCCCCTCATTATTTTTTCTCTGCATTTAGTGGGCATAATAGTTTTGTAACCTCTTTCTTCATATGTTTTTGACTTTCAAAAACAATGTCTTTGGGAAAATGGAGTATGTTTTGATTATCAACTTCAAAAGATTTTTTGCCAAAAAAAAAGAAGTTCCAAAAAGAATTCCAAAAATACAAGATCCCTAACAAAACTCCACAAAATTCAAGAGTCTAGCGCCATCATCGTAACCATTGTGGCCACATCAGTCATCACTAGATCTAGAGATCCACCATTTGGACATGTGACCAGATCCGGCACGACTTGAGGAGGAGAGACATGCGGCTTGGGAGAGAAGCTCGCGGTTGCCGGATCAAGATAAAAACGATATATCATGGCTAATTTTGTAGGGGTCTGACTAGAATGTTATGTAGGCACATACATGAGGAGGATGGCACGTAGGCATATACATATACATTAGGTTCTAACTAGCTAGAATGTTACATACGCACATACCTGAGGAGGATGGCATGTAGGCATATACATGCCATCGGGGGTGGAACTATGAGTAGGGTAGCTATGAGCTAGAGCCCTACTCCTAGCCCTAAATCTCCATTGAACTAACACTCCAAAAATTAAAAAATTAGAAGAGGAAACACAAGCATATGAAAACTAATTAATTGAGCCCTAGGCTTGAGAAATTTGTCTCCGCCACTGCGTGCCATCCTCCTCACGTATGTTCCTATGTAACATTCTAGTTAGAACCCTGCAAAATTAGCTATGAAATACTGTGTTGGTCCTTGATTCGTATGGATAACACAAGTTTATGATATATCGTGTTGGTCTTGATTCGCATGGATAACACAAGTACGTTTATGTACAAGAATGAACATTTTATAAGGTCGTGTATTAAATTATACCCACTTTGCAATTTTGTGTATCAGCAGCAAAAATTACTAAAAAATATATAAAAGTATACATGGTGAGGAAATGGCGTAAAGTGTCTACGAAAAATATATGGGATTATGTGGCCTATTGATTATTAAAATGAATAGTCCAACTTCGAGGGACTGAAAATTGGAGCCGCTTTTCTCGTCCCTTCACAAAACCTGACCAATGTCGTCTCTTCTATTTCACCCAAAGAATTTCCACTTTGAGTTATGGCCGTGCTGATTAGTCCCACGTAAAACAATAAGCATGATTAGCATATAACTAATCGAGTATTTGTTATTAAAAACTTTAAAAATAAGTTTCTTTAAATTTTTAAAACAGTATATTTTCTTGCATAAAACATACAGTTTAGCTATTTAAAAAACATCATAACAAATACTATTGAAGGGTGGCCCAACTACTTCGATACTCTTCCGCCCTCCGTTGTTTGCTAAAAAGATATTGTGTCCTTGCCAACCAATAAATTGTTGCATGAAAAGGAAAGAACCAATGGACAAAGTAATTACCCTTCCAAAACTATCTGTCATAAATAGGATTTTCTTGCTGGTTGTATTTTGATTTTTTTTTGGCAAAAAGATTGTGATTTGAATCTAATATCTAAATAGACACCAAGTAAATGGATTCATATGTCCAGACTTAATTCAAGATTATTTCATTATGTAAGTAAAAAACAAAGATGTTTTCTTTAATTTGTCTGAATATATACATTAAAATATCAAATTGGAAAATAATTTGTGATATTCTCCAATATTTGACCTTGGATTATACTACATCTGAAACTTACTAGTAATAGATAATATTTTTCACCAAAATTATTTTTATATTCTAACCAAAATTTATAATATAGCATGTGAGATTATTTCACTAGTACTTGCCTAATGAACAACCATATTTCCAAATAACAATTTGTTTACTTATTTATGGTGTATGAAACGTGAGAGCACCACAAAAATATCTGATAATTACACATACCCCACAACACTTTGTTCTAATCACAACATGAACCAATAAAACCACCAGCATCCAAGAAAGAAATCAATAAGAAACCCAGAAAAAGATCCTCTATATATACCCTACCACACAACACAACCAAGATCCACACACACTCACACAGTTCACACTCATATCATATCAACAACACATCAATCTCTTTAATTTCCTCCATCTTTCTTCTAAACCCAACCACAAAAAAAGGCCAAAAACCCAACAAGATCGACCATGGAAGGCCACCCTCTTCTTCACCACCTCCAGCAGCCCACCCTCGCTTACACGTGGGACCCACAGCTCGCGCCGTTCGACCACGTCGCCGGCGCCGGCGACCAGGTGGCCTTCTCCACGGCGTTGGAGCTCCGGCAGGCGCTGCTCCGGGCGCTGGCCGAGCTGGACGCGGCGCGCGCGGCGCACCAGGCGGAGCTCCGGCGGATGGAGTCCGAGGCGGGGCGCCTCGACGCGCTCGTCGCGTACGCCGCCGCCGAGCGCGACGAGCTCCGGCGGAACTGACACTCCCTCCTGCTCCTGGTGCACCAACCAGAGCCAGCCCCCCGCGCCGCCGACGCCGACGCCGCAGGTCAGCAGCCTCCCCGCCGCGCACGTCGTCGCCGTCCCGGCCGTGGCGGACGAGCTGGCGGCGCTCGACGCCGCCGACGAGGCGGAGCTGGAAATGGCGCTGGCGCGGCGGCTGCCGGAGAAGGGCCGGCTAGTGGAGGCCGTCGTGTCGGCGGGGCCGCTGCTCCAGACACTCCTCCTCGCCGGCCCGCTCCCCCGGTGGCGCCACCCGCCGCCGCCCGCGCCGGCCGACATCCCGCCGTTCAACCCGACCAAGGCCGCCGACGCCGACAACAACTCCTTCTCCTCGGCGTCGGCCACGTCGTCCTCGCCGGAGAGCAACTGCAGCGGCGGCGGCGGGCACGCGCCGCTGGTGTCCCCGGCGCTGCCCTACCACATGATCCCCTTCTGCATGTAGCGGCGTCGCCGACTCGCCGCCGTCGTCGTGGGTGAAGGTGCATGCTAGCTCCCGTGCCTCCTGGGCGGGCACATGCGCGCCACCATTCGATCGCCACCAACGGCTTAATCGTGTCATTAGTGCTAAGCTTAATTACGCCTACGTAAGCAGCAGCTAGTCATTACATAAATAAATTAAGGCTTGGTTTTGATTAGTAGGGGTGATTAGTGGGGCGATTATAATTAGCTTAGTGATTAGAAGTGGGCAGAGATTGGGACATGCGAGACAAAGAATTACATGAATGCCACTACCTACACTAGTATCATCATGTACATGTGTGTATGATAGTATCTAATTTATCTATGGGTGGTGTGTTTCTTTCTGAGACCACTGCAGAATGCACTGGTTTCATATATGTTGCTGTCAGTAATTAAGTCTTTTGTTGAGAAATCTTAGCATGGTCTTTCCCAAATTAAATTTATGTGGAAAAGTAGTACATTTTACAACTGTGGTCTTTTATGAAACAAAACCTTGAAAAGTCTTGAACTTCAGACTGGACATTGTTTCGGGTCGTGTTTTCAGCTTTTTGAATAGGTATGTGACCTAGGTTGAAACACTGTTTGACTTTTTAATTAGTAAATTGTTTGAAATAAATAAAGGGTGAAATACATGGTTGGTATTTAAACTTGGATCATATATCACTTAGATATGTGATGTTGTATATCACACATTTAGACCTATAATAGTAGTTTAATTTATCATAACAAGTCCAAGTCACATTTCACCAATCTCGATCGGACACCGACGTGGCTGTCCATATGGGCCAAAATTTTACATTCAACCCCTTTTGAAATTCAGTGTGACAAAAATATTGTCGAAGTGGTGAATTGGAGTGGAAGGAGGGACGACCACCCTGAATGGATATTTGGATGTCCACGGTAGGAATGAGGGGCTATATGCATTATTTTTGTCACGGTGAGGGGGCCAAATGCAAAGCGTGGACAGCCAAGTCGGGTTCATGAGATCTGTCAAACACACTTTGAACCTAAGGTGATAATTAAGCCATGATTACATATCTAAACGTATGAACTGCAAGATTTCACATACCTAAGTAGCATTTGGCCTATCAAAGTTTAAGAACCGATCATGTATTTCACTCGTAAATAAATATGCCCATTTCACTATGAACTATTTATAACCAATAGTTTTAATGGTAAAATATTATCTCTGCATACTAAAAATTCATTGCGAACCAGTGTGGTTATAAATTATTAATTGTGAAATTTTCATTTCGTTGTGATGGCAATAAAACCTAAGAGAAGTGAGGCATGCGTGGCATTATTTTTTGCGAGGTACCAATTTTTTATTTAAACCTCCTTTGATAATCTTAAAATTACTCTGCAAAACCTTAGTTCTAAAGCAAAACCTTTGAGTTACACCACTTTGCTAGGCGTGGCATTTAAGTTGCATTGCACCATTGATTATTGTGGCATGGGAAGAGAATTATGTACAAAATTTGCAACTCAAATTTTGCCTAATTGCCGAAAACAAATTATGTTCAAAACTAAATAAAATCATTTTACAAGACTATAAAGTTTTATTCACCAGATACCAAAATTTAGTGGGCTCTTAATACTCCAATATGCAACTCAGTTCACTAATCTCTAAAATTCTGAAACACACCCCCAACGTTGAAATCATTTCGAATTATACAAGTAGCGGGTGGCTTAAAAAGTTTCTTGGAAAACTCTTTGTTGTCTATTCGTATATTTCAACCTAAATCAATGTTTTGTATGTATAGTGGAGTAAAGTTTACTCTACCTGTCCAAAATAGTTTTATATAGTTTCACAAATTATTTTTTTCGGGGCAATTAATTGTATGTATATAGGTTATAAGATGCATTTTAAGATATCTCTAATTCTTTGTAGGACACTATCTCACCTGTGAAATAATCTTGCAATTTCTGTTTATTTTGATAAATCACATTTATGCGGATTGTTCGCATAAAGTTGTTGTCTAAAATGTGAAAGGAGCCCCTCTTCTTCTAGCAACATCTGTCACATGAGCCATGACCCACCAACAAGTTGGTTTTCCTCGATGATCATGCCATGTTTCTCACCTATTGGTAACACTCAACGATGGCATTTTCATCGTGAAAAAGAATCTTCGTCGGTGACCGCAAAATTAAAGCCTAACATGAAGTGAAATGGAGTATTTGTTTTTGTTTAACCCCTATGTTGACTGTTATCTTGAAATTATAAGATTAAAATGTGAAGTAGCTATAATTAATTCCAATCGCTCCAATTTTGTTTAAATCATCTTTGCAGCTCTCTCACAGATAGATTAAGCATGTACATGGTACATGGCTATATTATTGAGCCCTAACATTTCACATTATTGCATTAAAATAAAATACCATCAATTCCCCATTAGGTTCCCTCCCTCCATCGTTCTGGTCATCAGCAAATAACTCTATGCCACCCTCTCTATTTCCCGCATCAAGCGTTGCCAGGCAAGCTTGTGTGTCGATCTCGGCGCTTCCAACTGGGTTCATGATTCATCCACATTGTACCAGCCACTGCACTGCCTCTTGAGCTTGAGTTTTTTTTTCCTAGCTAGATCTAGTCGCCATGGCCTCGATCTCATGCTCCAGCTCGAGCTCCTCCACACTGATGACCTCGAGCTTCATAGGTAAGGTAAGCAATTGCAAGTGAGGACGCTATCTCCGAGCACCGAATTGAACAAGCCAAGCGAGAGCGGCACGACAAGAGTGGGCGGGCAAGGAGAACTATGGGAGATAACAGGCATTCCTAGATCGCCAAGGACAATCACCTCAACCTTCAACCGCCGTGAGAGATGATAGCCACGCGCGGAGGGTTGTCTTGCCATGGATCTCGGCGACATTGTCATTGTCATTTCCATAGGCAATCTTTACCTCTCTCTCCCTGTTCATCTATGCTTTTATCTCGACAGTGGTATAGCTGGGAATTCTGTCTACTCTCCTCCCTCTCCTCAAGCTCAACGCCAGTACTGTACAATATGCCAATCCACCTATACTATATCGTACCTACTATGATTCACACTTGAGTTTTGCTAATCCTAGAAAGTGACACCATGATATATCCAGGGTTTACACTTTCATTTTCAGCCAAAATTTTACAATTTAAGTGGCAACCGAAATTTCGAGAATTTTGCTACTTTAACTTTTGACCAAAATTATTTGAAAATTTAAAAAATTTTGATTTTTGAATAAACTTTGATCAAATTTCAAAAAATATGGAAAAACCGATAATTTCTGTCGATATTGTGTTTGCCTGTTGGTGGTCAAATTACCAAAAATTTAGAAATTTTGTTCTGAAATTGCAATCACCGGATATTTTATAATATTAATTTATCATTTCTTTTTATAGTGTCGAGGTACTCTGAAATAATATTAGGATGGTAACATATATTGCTTTTGCCGCATTGTTGCTACTCTCTCCTTTCTAAAATATAAAGGATTTTGGGTGAATGTGACGTATCCTGGTATAATGAATCTGGACAGATATAATACTAGAATATGTCACATCTCAAAATCATTTACTCCCTCCGTCCCAAAAAAGGCAAACCCTGGGTTTCCGTGTCCAACTTTGACTGTCCGTCTTATATGAAATTTTTTATAATTCGTATTTTCATTGTTGTTAGATGATAAAACATGATTAATATTTTATGCGTGACTTGTCTTTTTAATTTTTTTCATATTTTTTTCAAATAAGACGGACGGTCAAATAATGGACACGGAAACCAGGGTTTGTCTTTTTTTAGGACGGAGGGAGTATATTTTAGAACGGAGTGGAGTACTGTCCCTATGAATTTTGGAGACAACACAATCACATCTGGGTATCGTATCCCAGTTGCTGTGCCTTGGGACCCAGCATTTTTTTCCTCACACCTCACTTCAAAGTTCAAACAGGCTTTGCAGCTTGTTTTGTCAGGCACTGTCCACCAATGGCCAACGGGCCATCTCTGTTTTGACAGCTTGTGGCCCCTCTCTTTCCATGACAGAAAGTGGGCCTTCTCCTTTCACATATACAGGGGTAGTGGAGGCCCACTTGCTAGTGGGGCACAATACTCGATACACACCCAGATGATCACCACCGTCCATTTTCCCTTTTACTCTGATCAAACAAGTCAAAGTGCTATAACAGATAGGTATGCATATTTGTTCTTCTAATAGTAGGAACTCATGGTCCTAAGTAGATTTGGTGTTCTTTTCATAATGGAGATTAAACTAGCCTGAATATATTTATTAGTAATCTACCAGTAAGCTGAAAGAACTGGAGCCAAACTAAGCTTGGATGGTGATTGGTGAGAACTAAACTTTGACAAATTATAACTTAAGCCAAAAGTGTGGCTAAGAAATAGATAGGCACAATTGTGATATGGTTGGCTTTAAATTTAAAAGACATGTGGTTTCTAAGGCTAAAAAAAGTGGCATGACTCAATTGTGATAAGAAGCAAACACATATCTAAACATAACTCAAGTGTGGCGTGATAAAGTGAGACAACTAACCAAACAGAGTCCCTTAAAATATTATGATAGGTTTATTGACCCCTCTTAAGTTAAACAACATAGTTTAGTGCCCTAATTATTTAAGTGAGACATGCATATTGCTCGAGTGCTCCTATCATATGGGCAAGGTATATAGATATGGCGGCAGCATAAGATCATCCATACGTCTAGGACCAAGAAAAAAGAAAGTACAAAAGTGTTTTTTTTTTCTAGATAGGAGTATATCTTTCTAACGTTCTGGACTTTGTCCATGGCTCCAACATGAGGTCCACCCATTGTGCAGCACATGGGGCAAGCTTTGTAGCTCCAAGATAGCTTTGAATATCACAAGATAAACTAATGTGTGCATTACAACTCCTCCCAACATGCATTTTTCCTTAGAAACAAAAAAAGAGGATTGGCATCATCCATGAAAATGATTTGTCTTAAACTTTTTTTTGACATTGTCTAAATTTGATTCCTGCAGGAATCATAAATTAGTTCTTGCTTGGTTTCTTGATATGAATATGCCTATGGTTATCTAGAGAAGGCTATTCAAAAGGTGAGTTGCTAGCTAGTGTGGAAACTAGTAGTGGGAATGGCAACTCAAATTGTTCAAGATATGAAGGATGGTTTGATGAATGTAGTATGGATGTGCAACACGTGGAAACTAAGTTTACGATATAGTAGGCCGACAATAGCCGTGATGTTGATAGCATTCCATAAATCCATAAATCCATAGTCCAATAGGTAATTGAAAACTATTAAAAAAATATCAATTTTGCAAATATATAAGATTCTCTTTTGCTATCGAATGTCAATCCTATGCGCATTTAGAGTGATTGATGGGTAGTTAACATTGAACCATCACATAGTTGGTTCGCACAAGCAAGTTTGCAAACAACGCGTGATCGATGC